CAGGAATGCTATAAGCTAGTAAATACCAATTCAACCATAATATAGAAGATTGCCTTCTCATTTACTCTAGACAGATTCAGTAAAGCAATGAGTTTTATTTTTGTCACCCAAGTATGAAGCTTGATGCAATAATGGAAGTCCTTAGATCATGTTGGAGACAAAAGATTTGTTCTAGTTTTCATTTTCTCTTTCTCATATTCACTTCCCTAGTAGGGAGAGGGAAATGAGGTAAGCACTGGATTTATGCAGGATACACTACATGTCATTTTGTTTAGCAAAATAAAAATAAATCACAACTATTTTCTGAATATACCACTATTTCTGTCAGAACAAGCTTCAGATTGCTGGCATTTGTTTCACAGGATTTGCTGTGGCATCAAACCTAATCACAACCTATTCTGCTACTTTAAAATGTGGGACCCTGGCAACACATCTTGCTCTCTCCAGTCACAGGGCAACAAAGCAACTGCACTGCTATTGCACTTGGATTTGTCAGAATAAATAATTAAGAGACTCATCAGCTTCTCAATAATGAACAAGGAAATATGATTAAGCAACTTTAAAAGAGAATGGCTGAAGACAATACAGAAATGATAGCAGGATGATTGCTGTGAATGAGAGACTGAAATTTCTGAAAAAGAGTTTTCTTCAACAAGATACAAAGACAGTAGTTTAATTTTCCATTAAAAGATTCCTGCCAACTTGGAAAAGCTTTGAATCAGGAGATTACAGATGTCTCAGAAGCTGACAAGATAGTCACTTCTCTTAAGACAGCTACTTTCTGGCAATTGCAGAGTAATAGCTGTTTTATTTTGTTTTACTAATTCAAGACCCTTAACTTCTACCATGTAATGCCTAGGACATCTCTGACTAGGCAATCTTTTCTTCTCCAAAACTCTGAAAATACACGTAATTGTTTAGACCAAAATGTTCTAGAGATGCTTGCCAAGTTTCTTATGTCTAGTATCTAGAAATTGTGCTGATTTGCTTCTGGCAATGTTCCTTGAAAGTGCTTTGTGTGTTAGTATCTCTTTAAATATCTTATATGTAGTTGTTATTCTTTAGTACCAAAAAGATGCTTCCACATTATATCTAACCTGTTTCTATGCTATCTGCTGTCCTAGCTAATCTAAAGGAGAGAAACTTGAAGAAAAGTGAAGTAACAGAATTTAATGTAATTCTTCTGGATGTCAAGAGAAAGATACTTTTCCGCTTTTCCTTTGTATACAATCATAAATGATGCAGTCTTTTTAAGGGTAAAAGCACAAAACTCAACAAGCAGATTACAAGATTTCTTCTCCAAGGGCTGTTATAACAGAGTGTAGACGTTTCCAGATATTCAGATATAAATATAATATTCACAGAAGTGTGATATTCATAGTTATGCAGTGTTGTTTTCTTTTTAAAAAATAGTAAAAGTGTCAAACCTCTTTTTTACTTACAGAAACATCACAAAGAATACTATGATTCTAAAACCCAGGCAGAAAAATACTACTTCAGAAGGCTTTCGAGGGCATTATTCTTTCCTTTTTTTTTTTCCCCCACGATGTAGGCCCACCATAGTACAACATGTAGTACACATAATAGAAACCACTGTGGATTTTCAGCCAAAACTCCAGCTGCCTTCGGTGGAGATTTGATTGGGTATAAACATGTTGTTAACCTTCAGGTATCTCCGTGTGTTACTTAGAATACTTAGAGTTATCTTCTAATTGTCTTCCATAAAAATGCAAATTCATAAGTTTACAGTTTGTACTTTGAAGATTACTTGTACTTTTCTTGTTCACTGTGATAAATTACTGTTTGATTAGGGTTAGGATTAGGGTTATTCCTTTTCTCTTGCCATATTTATTGTCATACCCAATTACTTGTTTCCTGTCAGCAGTTTATCCCAGTAAATATCACAACCTACTTCTTCATATCAGATTACGTATGTTCTTCATTGACTGAAGGGGCTGGGTTTGTATCTGATGCTTATGTTTTAACTTCCTGCACAGAATCATAATGTTCCCTAAGCCATAGGTGACCACAGTATATCATCCTATGGCAGATTCTCTCAGGACAAGAATAAGAAGCCATTTCAATAGGGACATCTAATGGAGACAGAACAGCCCCTCAGAATGCAGAAATGTAGAAGTCTCCATCTATCAGGAAATACATGAAGTCCTTCTTTCCAGACTCGTCCATGTAGGGGAAAAAAAAAAAAGGAAACTAAGGGGCCAAGGGGACTGGGGGGGAAATAAAAGGAAAAGAAAGACAGCATATTTCCTCTTTCTACTTTTTCCAGGCCAAGTTCTGTGAAAACTTCTCTGAAAAACTTCTCTGATAGATTGCATGGGTGTAGTCAATGTGACATTCACAACATCCTCTTTCTTTTTCTTCTGCAAAAAGAAGATCAGGCTTGGAAGAATATTTCATCAATATTCAAGTAAAATTCTTGTAGGCTAACACTTTTAATTTGTCATTTCATGTGTAATTTTTTTAATTTTTTTTTTAATCTTGGACATAGCAGTTTCCTTTTTGTGCTGTACTAGAATTGGTGCCTCATTCCTGCAATTTCCAGAGCCAGATCTGGAGCAAAACTTGTTTTTCAAATTAATTGTGCTGGAATGACTTAGTGATATGTTTAGACTGGAACTATCAAAGTTGCCATGTGCGTGAATCCATTTCAGAGTAACTTTAGATTTGTACAATAGGTTAATTGTAGATAAATATTTAGTGCAACAGAACTTCTGAAGCTTTTGTGTGAGGAAAGAAATGTTTGCAAATTGTATATTCATGTAAAGGAAACCAAAGCTACCAATTTTGTGTTGGTTACATCCCAGCTACATTGTTCTGAAACATTATCCTTCTTTTAAAGTTCCATAAAAAGTCTGACATGTACGTGCACTTTTCTTTTGTAGGTGGAATGGAGAAAATAAAGCAGCATACCTTTGCATTAGCTCACTACACATATACCGTGCTGTCCACCTTAAAATATGCCAATGGGGCTCCTGTAGTACGTATTTACAGCGATACAGACTTCAGCAATCCTGATGTCCAGGGTCCAATCATTAATTTTAATGTGCTCGATGAAAATGGAGAGGTGATCGGCTTTTCACAGGTATGTTTTTCTCTTGCCTTAACTGGAAGCTATGTTTAGATTTTAAGTATATTCATAATTAGGATATAATTAGTGACCCCTTCAGAGGTTTTTGGATTTGTTTTTTTTGTAGTCATGCACAACATCTACACACCATTTTCAAAGTAGCAGAAAGAGAATCCAATAAATAGTGCCAGCACAAAGCGAAGTATGTAATAGCCAAAGCCAGTATCTTACAGATTTAATACTCAACTCATAAGAAGCTTGAAAGTGAGCTGTTTTAATAGGATGCATTGACTAGGCAGTTTGGTTTCTTGTTGACTTTCTTCTCTAGAGTGCTCAAAACTGGGAATTGAAGAGCAAGTTTAGAAAAGCTGATACAGGAGGCTGCCTTGGATCTTAGACACACAAATGAAATCAGGTCTCAAAATACTGCCGTCACCCATGACAGAGGATTTATCTTTTCCCTTCAGTTCTAATAATTACATTATTGCAATATACCTGAGGAATGATTGAATAAAGTTCAATGATCAGAGTTAGGATCGAGATTCAAGCTCAAAGAATCCTTAAATGCTATCTTTCTCAACAGTTTTTTCTAGCCTTTATCCATCAGGTATTCTGAGTATCTTTAACACAAAACTTCGTTAAACTTTTCTGCCTTCAGTGGAGAGGTAATGGTGTTATGAGCATAGTGGTGTATAACTGCACCATGTGGGCAGTACGTAGTGTGGGGTAATGTAGCTCACTTGTTCATCAGCAGAAGTCAGAAAACCCACAATACTCTAGTTTTGTTTAATGCTTATGGTTTTCATTGGCTAACAGTTTCATAAGCCCACAAGTCAAGTCCAAGTGTATGACCTTTGTTTTTTTAAAGGTTGTCAGTAACTGGCACCATCTGTCTCAGCAGCTACTTCCTCCTGCCAGCAGTAGTGGCAGAGCTGCATTGCTCTCAGAAGCTGGTAATTCTGGGCCAGTAGGAAGAGAGTGGGAATACTGCAAAAGATGTTTCTCAGCATTCCTCTGCCAGAGAGGAGAACAGACATCTAACAAGATGGACACAGAGACATGTCTGTGAGAATACAAGAGGAGATCCATATATGCGCAAGGGAGGACAGAAGTGAAGCAGTTACTTTGTAGCCAGTCAATATGGAGTTTTACAATTCCTTTTAAGACACTTACCATACATGATGAACATGGGATGTGCAAATGTATAGTACCGGAAAAGCTCTTCTTCCCATATGTTTTTTTATTGACTGTGCTACCGAATAGTCTCAGATAGTTGCCACATTTCATTTTAAATAATTCCACATTCTAGGAGTGAATTAGCCATTTGTACAGTCTTGAATATCTGTGGCAATGTTCATAAAAGACTGGAGACATTAACACAGCTGGGTTGGTAAAACACCCCACAAACACTCTGAAGTTACTTTTGTCCTTCATTTAAAACCAAACCCTTTATTTGCATTTCTGATTTTAACAGTTCCCTAGTAACAATGGCTCTTGCCTGCTTCTTTTTTTTAAACCCAACTGTATTGTTTTATAGTCTTCTGTCTCCACTGTGCCTGTTTGCTGCAGTGTCTGCTCATAAAAAAGCTTCTTTATTGATCTGTATCATCTGGATTGTGCTGTTCACCAGATTCTTGTCACTTCTGGCATGAGTATGTTGAATGAAGATCTGTAAAGTTTCCAAATGCATACCCATGGCATCTGCAGTGCCTGTTAGATTACTTTGTTTAATTAAAATAATGCACAATTTAAGGACTTTTAGAAATTAACAAGCAACAGCACTATTCTTTCTAAAGCTATAATGTGTGTGATATGTATATAACTGGCATCTTTATGGAATTAAATTCTTGCATAGACATCTTACAGCAGTTATGGGGGAGAAAAATGTTTGCTTCATCTTTACAATTACAAAGAAAATACATACAGAAGAGAGTAAGCATCATGAAACTTACAGTAAACTCTCATCCTCATACATGCATGCATGTCTAAAATAATATAGGTTTGTTCAAATCACGGTTAAATCAAATACATCCATGAATGACTTAGAAATGAAATTGTGTCCTCTAGTTTGGTCATGTCTGTGATCTGCACATACATGTGGATTCACTGGTCAGTGTTCAAATGTAATCTAGTGGAGTTAGGAGAACACAGTTTCATAAGGCTCCCAGAAAACATTTTGGGGAATCTTTGATGAAGGGACAATTTCGGATGACATTTCTCCCTGACATACCTACCTACTACTAGTGGACACTAATTAATTAAACTGTATTTCAGCTAGTATATTAAGAGAAATGATGGAATATCTTATTCCTTTATGGATGGCATCCCGTCTATAATTTATTTCTTATAACCAAACATCCAACCAGTTCTATTTGTCTTTCTGATAGACAATTGTTATGTACCCATTGCCTGTTAGAAGGCACAGTGTGGCTGGACATCAACATTTGGTAGCCTGAAAAGGACAATCTCGCTAACTGATTCCAGAGAAAATATCATGATGAGTTTTGGAACAGTTTATTTGGAACATTTGAAATTAGCAAGAAAGACTTCATAAGTAGACAGTGTCTTCAGAGGATACTAAGCTTACATTTAAGCCTCAAGATTTGCATAATTTACACAATATTCAAAACTCTGAACTAAGTCCAAGATATTTAGGATGTGAAAGGCATGTAGTGAAATACATGACAATTAACACTGCCACTGGAAAATGAAAGAAGGGGAAAAGTTGCATCTTTTATCTGTGTAGAATTTGGAAGGAAAGCTGTTTTTACCTGCTTCTATTATTGAAAATTATTTTTGTCTGTTATCAGTCTGACTACCAGATCTAACAAGATTATGCCACTAAGCACAAACATGCTTAAATTACATACATCAAGTCAATTACACCAATAGGAAGTAGCCACAGTCTCAGGTTCATCCTTGAGTAAAATCCTCATTGCAGCACTTGAGATCACATGAAAGCATCTCATTAGAGTGAGACACACAAATTAAACCATACAGTGATTGCACTCTCAGGGATGGCAGCTTTTTTGACAGCCTCCTTTTACAGTACATATGATACAGACTACTCAAATGTTAAGAAGTGATAAGGTGGGATTGAAATAGTTATGGAAGTTGAATTGCTATTGCTTCTTCATTTAAGTGTTTCTTTGTGATTGTTGAGGGGTATCCCTGTTTTAGAGCACACTATTTGGAATAAACTTTGTGTACTATATGTATCATTGGTTTAACTGACAGTTTAATTACTGGTTTAGTTATTTTGCTCTAAATGGTAATTAAAACAATTAAAGAAGAGGGACTTCCAGACTCCAAACACCAATAGTCACTCAAAAGCTTTGTTTTTTTCTTCAGATTTTTCAAGAAACTAGGGATAAAACTACTACAGTTTTGAAATCTCCATAAGCCCCTTGTCTTTGGGCACTAAAATAGCATTACATTTCCTCCTTTGAGCTACACCAAACACTTCCCATGAAAATTATTTCCTTCAGTAAAACTGTCTTGCAGGCTACTATAGGTAGCAATTTGTTCTTGAAATGACCTGGGAGGATACCTGTATTCTTTTCATGCAAGTTGCCAGTCCCCTGCAGTAGCATGTCTGTCATTTTATGCTATGTGTTATTTGCATTGCAGCACCAAAATACCCCAGTAAGAGGGGTTAAATGATGATGAGTACTTGAGAGGTCCAGCGCTTGACATAAAGATGGTCTGTATACCAAGCAGCTTCTTCATAGATACTTGTCTAGTTAGGGTGAATAATTCTTCAGCATTATAGTTTTTGCTATTAATGAAGTGTGGCTGGTGATTTTGAAAGGAGAGAAAATGCAGGGGTAGCGATGAAGGGCCTCTGCAGCTTCCATCCTGCACCACTGACTTAGCAGAGTTGACATTACTGCAGCAAGCTGCCAATCTTCTGCTTCCTTGTGAGGCTACCAGGAAATTAGGCAATTACCTCTAGATACTATAGGGTGTTTGTTGTATCCCAAACATGGGGTTATGTATATGCTAAGTGCTGAACTAATAATACTTCAGACTCTTCACACAGAGTCACCACTGGCTCATTTATTAATAGTGGCTCTCTGTAGTCTTCAGCATCTATGAATGTCATGTGTTTATACACTCCCAAGTCCTTCCAAGCTCTGAAGCACTGTCTGACAGCAACAACTCAGCTTGAGTTTGCAGCCTTGCCATCTTTTTTATCAAAAGCTTGTATATGACTCTGTGAGGTTCCAGTCTGTGTTGAATGCCAGAGGAGAAATAACACTGTTTTGAAGCAACAATCATACACACACACACAAAAAAAAATGTATTTCTTATAAATCAGGTCAAAGTGCAAAGTTATATGTTCCCTCCCATTAGCAGATTTGAAAAAAAAAAAAAATAAAAATCTCTGCTATGAGGGACCTTTTATGCTAATATTAAGTTTTCCTCTTTGTCCTGATAGGAAGACACCTGTGAAATGTTCTTTTTATATTCAATAGATAATTGCAGGGTAATTTTATAAACCTTACACATTTCATTCTGTTGAATCAGTTTGAGAGCTGGAAGAAGGGAAAAGGGTAAGAAGCAGAGATGGATGGGTAGATGGAATTTTACCTGAAATATTTCTTGAATTGTATGCCCTGGAGAGCTCTTACCAGTCACAGCTTCCAGTTCAATGTTTTCTACCCCCAGTGAAAAATAACACTTCCCTTATAAAACTTTTTCTTTTTTACTCTGGTCTTCTGAGTCAATATGTTGTTCTCCTATGTGTCACGGGCATAAAAATTTGAGCAAACTAGCATAGCAATCTTTTGAAAAATGGCCATTATTTCAATTGTGGATTACCAGCTGTCTTTCCCATTCTGCTTTTTCACACTGCCTCCTTTGCCTGGAGCCGTAAGCTAAACAGGTAGCTTGCTGTGATTGTCTCACCTGCAAAAGTTCCCTTGGTATCCTTATATGCTTTCCATGCCTCCTAAAAATCCTGTCAGGAAGGGAACAAGCATCAGTCCATTAGCAGTCTCAGCCTTCTTGCCTGCCACTTCACACTTGTCTGTGATAGACAAACTGCTATAACAGGAATCAGCTGCCAAAGATAGAGAATTTTGGTTTGCCTAAAGTAGGCTCTTCTGTAGTGTTGCATATGGATGAGTTTTACCTCTCAAGACTGAGAACCCTTTGAGAGATGGTCATCAGTTTTGTCTAGGAGCCTGCATTAGCATGTCCTGGCTCACTTTCATCAGCTTGGTTAGAGTGAAGAGACATCTAGACTTTGAACTTATCTTTCTTCATCCATTTCTCAAGGAAAAAAACAAACAAACCTATCAACACTTTTCTTCTAGGATGTGCCCCTTCAGCACACATTTGCAGTGCAATCTGATGACTGCTTTTGTTTATAGCATCTGTCCACTGTCTCACCCACTTTCCTTCCATCTCAACCTCCCTTTAATAATGTAAGTATAGACTCGGTGCCCCACTGTTGTGTTTGTTTTTTTTTCCTTTTCTGCCTCCATTTGCTACAATTTTGAAGTGAAGACCTGGGTCTTAAATCAGAATATGTGACCCCAGATAACTTAGATCACATTCTCTATGCTGGTAGCCTCTTTCTGCTGTTGTCCACATGCTAACAGTATAAGAAGAGGGGAAAAGCAGAATGAGACTCCCTCAAGAAACAAAAGGAATGTTGTTTTCTTCTTAACCTCATTCATCCTTCTGTATCCAAAGCATCCTATCGCAATGAATTGTCTTGTAAGCAGCTTAGCAGCCAAGCCAGTTCATCCCTGTGGTTTTAGAGGACATGGAGGAGGAAAAATAGATTTTAGAACTGCAGGGACTATGAGAGGTTACCCATCATCATTGTGTGCCAAGATAGTATCGTTATTATCTGAACCTTTCTGCAGCCTCTGAAGGCATTTCATTCTGGAACTTAGCTATATTCACTATTACACAATATTTTCTAGTGCTTGACCTAAAT